AGAGAGATTCTTATTGGATATCATACAGATTACAGAGCAGTTTATTCTATGTATACATCGGACATGTAATAGACCGTGGAATGCCTTGTATAGACCCCCACCGGTTCACTAGCTTGGTATCAATTAGACCTATTAGAAGCCAGAAGTGTCGTGCCCGTCTTGAATTTATTTCCCAGGTTTCCATGGCGTACCAGCAATCGCCAGCAAAGAAATGCAGGTTAGACCTGGTGTGCATCATTTTCATCTTGATAGGGAGAGAAAAAAATGGGGGTTTAACGTTCACTCAACACAAACTAGGTCATTTCGGGTCTAACATATGTTTCAATAATCGCTTGCGCGGGTAGGGGTCTTTTATCAGTAGGAGGAAACCGGAGGACCCGGAGAAAACCCACGAGGATGGACAGGCGACCCTACTCCTTGTCCCGTACAATCGAGGAATCGAAACCATGCCACTTGACAGGCATAATGATCCAACGCGCACGCGTTAACCATTCGGCCACCCAATCCCCCTCATCTTAATAAGGGTATCGAAAACCGCAGGCTATTTCGTGGAGGATTAGTCTAACCCGGGGTTTCGAACTCCATAATATCACTTCACTATTATACTGTATTACTACTTTGTCAGGCCCTGAGTTCACAAACCATTCTCAGACTTAAGTTAAGAATTTACTTAGAATTGTTCGTCTTATTTTAATTAAAATATAGCCCTTTATAAAACTTTTGTTGTTTTAATGTATTAAATACATCAACAAGAAACTATGTACACAGTTTTGTGTTTCTGGATCAAAGATATTTCTCATAAACAGTGATTGAAAGTTGAGTAAATTCTTAACTTAAGTCTGAGAATACTTTGTGAACTCGTGGTCAGGTCTTGATTTAGGGGTTTACTAAGCCTTTGAAACTTAATCAATTATTATGCATGCATCATTTTGTGCCATGACTGATTTAAAATATAATGTTACTAGTCATTGATTCTCTTTTATTTGGCATGTTCATGCAGCTCATCGTTACCTTAAAGTTCACTATCGTAATTTTTTGTCCCCCGCCTTTCGAAGAAAGCAGGGGACTATTAAAATGGGTCTGTCCGTCTGTCTGTCCGTCTGTCTGTCCGTCTGTCCGTCCGTCTGTCTGTCCGTCACACTTTTTGGGACACAATAACTCTCTTCCTAATTGAGCTAGAATGTTCAAACTTGGTGTATGTGTTTATTAGGCCAATGCCTTGATGGAGTTCGAAGATGAGCATTTTCCGCTTAGGGTAAGCAGAGATAAGCAATTTGATTGGTTGATGCTTTGGGACACGATAACTCTCTTCCTAATTGGGCTAGAATGTTCAAACTTGGTGTATGTGTTGATTAGGTCAATGCCTTGATGGAGTTCGAAGATGAGCATTTTCCGCTTAGGGTAAGCAGAGATAAGCAATTTGATTGGTTGATGCTTTGGGACACGATAACTTTTAATTGAGCTAGAATGTTCAAACTTGGTGTATGTGTTTATTAGGTCAATGCCTTGATGGAGTTCGAAGATGAGCATTTTCCGCTTAGGGTAAGCAGAGATAAGCAATTTGATTGGTTGATACTTTGGGGCACGATAACTCTCTTCCTAATTGAGCTAGAATGTTCAAACTTGGTGTATGTGTTGATTAGGTCAATGCCTTGATGGAGTTCGAAGATGAGCATTTTCCGCTTAGGGTAAGCAGAGATAAGCAATTTGATTGGTTGATGCTTTTGGACACGATAACTTTAGTTCTAATTAAGTGAGATTGATGAAACTTGGTGTATAGTTTCATTACAGTAATACCTTGACTAAGTTTGATAATGAGCATTTTCTGCTCAGGGTAAGCAGCAATTTGATTGGTTGATACTTTGGGGCACGATAACTCTCTTCCTAATTGAGCTAGAATGTTCAAACTTGGTGTATGTGTTGATTAGGTCAATGCCTTGATGGAGTTCGAAGATGAGCATTTTCCGTTAAGGGTAAGCAGAGATAAGCAATTTGATTGGTTGATGCTTTGGGACACGATAACTTTAGTTCTAATTAAGTGAGATTGATGAAACTTGGTGTATAGTTTCATTACAGTAATACCTTGACTAAGTTTGATAATGAGCATTTTCTGCTCAGGGTAAGCAGAGCGATACGCAATTTGATTGGTCGAGACTTTGGAAAACAATAACTCTCCTACTTTGATTGTTAGACTATAAGTAAAGATATACTGTTTGATTGTTCAATACTTTGTAAAAGATAATTTGTGATAAATTTATATGTGTCCTCTAATTATTTTCCTATTTCGGCGGGGGACATCAGCCTCACTGTTGGCTTGTTTATTTATATATCAACAGGCACTGAAACTAAACTGTGAAGCTCAGAGACGATCAACTGCTGGAGAGATTGTGAACCTAATGGCAGTTGATTGTCAACGTATTCAGGATGCCGTTTGTTATGCTCAGTTTATCTGGTCAATACCTCTACAAGTGGCTTTAGCTATATTTTTATTGTGGAGTACTATGGGTCCATCTAGTCTCGCTGGTTTATCCGTTCTGATTCTACTAGTCCCAGTTAATGCTGTAGTCGTTACTAAACAAGTCAAATTCCAGAAAGCTAATCTTCAACATAAAGATAACAGACTGAAACTAACCAGTGAAGTTCTTGCCGGTATTAAGGTAATGGGCTTTTGTATATATTATATGTTGTTTGTCACATGTCTGAAAGACCCCCACACATTAGTTTCAGCGGCTACCATAATTGCTTGTGGACAGAATAGGTCAGAGTAACTACGCTGTTTTCTTATATTCGGGATATATAATCGCGCTCATTTACACCGGTACATGTCATATAAAAGCTATCACGAGTTACCTGTCAGTTCAATCCAAGCTCTACTCTAATGCATACAGACTCTGTGAATTAATACGAAAACCCCTTATATACAATACATACACTTTACCATATAAAGGTGAACCCATAATGTACACACAGACTCTATCATTAAATAATGATGCCCCTAATTAAATATACATGTAGATACACAGAAATACAAACTTTAATATACAATAGAAGCGAAACCCCAAAAATAATAATTATATACCAAAATACACATGACACGGCACGACACGATATGCACATCGTAATTTGTAGTACAAATACAACATAGAGCCTCATAAGATCACAAAACATATAAAACCTAATATATCATACACGTAAACCATAATATAAAATACATACAAATCCTAATATACAATGCAAGTATCAAACATAGAATACAATACATACGCTATAATAGACAATATCCTAACCATGTAATACACACAAAGCCTAATCTACAACGAATACAAACAAACTCGGACACACACAACATATAAACCATAATGTGCATGGTATCTACTCTGATATACAATACATGTAAATCCAAATATGCAATAGATGCAAATACTAATATGCAATAGATGCAAATACTAATATGCAATACGTGCAAATCCTCATATGCAATACATGGAAATCCTAATATGCAATAGACGAAATCTTATTGTATAAAACTTTAAGCTTATTTTATTTTGCAGGTATTAAAACTATATGCATGGGAAGGCTCTTTTCGTGACAAAATATTGCATATCAGAAAAAATGAGATGGAAGTTCTGATGAAAATCGCCCGACTTAATTCTCTCAGTATGTTCGTATGGACATGTGCTCCATATCTAGTAAGTTTTGGGGTTTTTCTTGCCCGATTTTACATGTATCATTAATGCACAAGTTGAGATGAACCTATGATATGATAATACTACTGTAGTATTAACATTATATCAAGTGACAATACGCAACAAATAAAGGGTTTATAGCATACCAGGAAGCAATCGTATCACATATATTTTTATCATTTAAATACTACATTTTCTATGGCTTATAATGCAGTTACATGGACCCAGTAATTTAAGTAAAGTCTTGTGTGATGTTCATGATGTATAGGTAGTTAAGGCTATACACAGTAAATTAATTTCATTTCATTTTAGGGTAAAATATTCTTAAAGAAGGTGTTTTGAAATTATTATAATTGCAGGTCACTCTAGCAACGTTTACTACGTATGTTTTGACGTCAGCAGATGGCAACATCGATGCTCAAAAAGCATTTGTTACTTTATCGTTATTTAATATTCTACAATTTCCAATTAACTTTATACCCGAAACCATATCATACCTTACTCAGGTAGGTCACATGGCACCGTTTATATGTTTTTTTTTTAATTTCTTTGATTATAATTTTATAATTCATAAATTGGTAAATGGCTAAGCGGAACATTAAAATAATATAGTACCAGTCATTTCAAACGATAGTATAGGTATTTGGATAACAATACTGCTATAGTAACATGCACAAGCTGGGCAAGTATTGAAAATTTTAATTAACCAGGGATTGAAATAATAATACATTCACTTTAATTTAAACCGTCATCTTCCTTTGATTTAAACATGCATTATGTAAGAGCAAAATCTGCCCATTGCATGTCTTTCGTTATACAATTTATTAATGAAAATGCCACGTTTACGTAATATTATACAAAGTCGAAAACTAATCATAAAATTCGAAAGCTAGTTTGTAGAAAACATTCAAATATACTTAAAAGAACACCGCTTTGTTTTAGGCAGCAGTATCTATTAAAAGAATCGACCGGTTTTTGAAAGAAGAGGAACTCCGTCCCAGCAATGTCGATAAGAATGATTTTATGGGTGAGATATCGATCGATTACTTATCTAATAAAATTCTCAACCGGGACAGTTTTTGAGATAACTGATTGTTTGAATTTGGGGATTGGGGGGTAACGTACCAGGTTAATCAAATCTGAAGTGTCATTTGACTTTCTAAACGTCATGGCCTAGCCTAACATGAAACGGATTAGAAGTTAAATTTAGAATATTTCTAAAACGTTTTGTTGTCATGTTACATAATATGTTCATACTAGTTAGTTCGCTGTTTGAGGTAATTTACATGAGCAAAACTACATCCAAAAACAGTAATGGGTATGGACGGCAGCCTAAAAGTTCGCTTAAACACACACCTTTACGTTGATAGCTTCTGTTTATGAAAGTTTACTTTCATAGGTTTAACCAAATGTGGGATATAAACTATTCTGCCTTTCCCATCATTGATAGCAGACCAGAATAATCGGGTTAACACATTTTCTAACACAAATCAACTGCGTCGTTAACTAGCAGTTAATTATCAATAACACATTGATATGTATTGTCTAATTTCATATTTTCAGGAAGAGCTATAAAGGTTGAGAAGGGAACATTTTCTTGGGGTAAATCTATCAAACCAATACTTAGCAAGTAAGATTTTACATCTGGAGGTTTGGGTATAATATGATTGGTGGCGATTTAATTGGTCACCTTTAAAATAGCATTATTAGTTTTATTATATACCATACCGGTGTCTTACAGAATGTATTTCTTGTTTCTTATACACCTGAATTATTTTTTTATGTCCCATTTATCTTGGAAAGTGCTTTCGGAAATAAAAAAAAAACTTTTGAAAAAATGATACACACCTCTTATAAGCAAGCGTGCTATTTAATTTCATTAACAAATTAATGTCCAACCCTAGTTAATTATATCTGAAAACACCAATCATAGTATTTTAATCCACAATGAGATGACACACATGGAACGCTGGTATCATTGATATTTCAGTATTAACATCGATGTTTCTGAGGGAGAATTGGTAGCTATAGTTGGGTCTGTTGGTGCTGGTAAGTCGTCTATTTTATCAGCAATGCTTGGTGAAATGGAGGTATTCCACGGCAAAGTTGCGTCCAAGGTAACTGAATTTTTAAAGTTTGGGTTAAACAGTATTTATTTGTGGAATATTATACAATATAAAGGCATAAAGAATAGGATACAAAAACAAGCCACGTAGGCTTATATTAATTTGCTTCCTTCTGGTTTGGGTGTAGAATATATGTACAATTTCAAATAATATCTGATACAGACAAAAACTAATTACATTTTTTTAGTTATGGTACAGATAAGTAGTAGCTAAGTAATTTTGAATAAATAAAATTAATTTAAAAAAATAAATAATAGATAAATTAAAATTATTTTGTTGCAGATAAGTAGTAGCTAAGTAATTTTGAATAAATACAATTAATTTAAAAAAATAAATAATAGATAAATTAAAATTATTTTGTTTTTAAAGTAACGCGGGCATCAATCTTTTATTTCGGTAAATTATGGATAAAGCAGCAAATATTTCAAAATTGTCTTTTGGCCTTGGTAATGTCCCAACCAGATTTCAAAACCTTATGATAGTCAGTATGAGGATAGAAGAGTGGATTGGCATATACATTTATTTATAAGGTCAAAAAAGGGCGATAACTACCATTCCTCTCGACAAACCTAATAAATACCAAATTGATTTAATTTAATTTATTTCCAGGGTAAAATTGCGTATGTATCACAACAGGCGTGGATTCTGAACGCTACAGTGAGAGAGAATATTTTATTTGGATCCCAAATGAATAAGAAGCAATATAAACGTGCTATAGAAGCCTGTGCTTTACAAGAAGACCTTAAAATGTTATCAGGTGGCGACCTGACAGAAATAGGAGAAAAGGTAACAACTTGTTTGATACAATTTACAGATGAATTAAGTAAAAGAATTCAATACAAAATGATTCAAGTAACGGTAACGACTTGTACACATCCCATGTCAACCAAGAATAGTTGGTGTAAAAATTAATATCTGATCACATTTCCACTTAAATAAATGAATGTTTGTTAACCATGTTTCTTTTGTTAATGTACAACAATTCTTTACTTGTGTGAACTCCTCAAATTATATTGTAGTGACCTTATGCTGTCGAGATATTAAACACTTAGCCTCAAATTTTTTAACACTGATTGGCCCTGAATATATTATTTTGTCTTTCGTGAATTTTGAGGAATATTTAATTTTAGGGTGTGACGTTAAGTGGTGGTCAGAAACAAAGAATAAGTTTAGCACGAGCTGTGTACACTGATGCTGATGTTTATCTATTTGACGATCCACTAAGTGCTGTAGATTCACATGTTGGTAAACACATCTTTAAACGTGTAATTAGCGATTCTGGAATCTTAAAATATAAGGTTTGTACATACGTCTTGTATTTGGTGGTAACTATCTTCACTGTTATACAAACTTTTATTGAATTTAACATCAAACACAGAGATGGGCGTGTTCACGGAAACCTGATCTGGAAGTAGGATAGGTAATGTCGACTTCCATATTCATAGGCGTAGGAGCCGGGGGGTTGGCGGTTGTAGCCCCCCCCCCCCCGGGATTCGGCGAACCGTCCATTTGTAGAGCGTTGTTCTTTACTTAACATATTGTTAGTCCCGAAATGACCTAGTTTGTGTCGTGTGGACGTTAAACCCCATTTCTATCTCTTATAAATTTATATTGTTTAATTGTGTAATTAAGTAAAAATAAACAACCATCACAGTTTTGTGAAAAATTCGTTTTAGTTAATTCTGAGAACTCGGGCAACAAATAGCTGTAGACCCAGTGCCATCAGATAGTCAAGAAAGACAAAGCATACCTCGTCTCGTGTATATGTTAGATTTCTATATTTGGTGGAAACACATACCAGTATATTGTTCTATATTTTAGACTCGTGTATTTGTAACACATGCTGTACACTGGTTACCTCTAGTTGATACTGTTATTTTGTTAAAAGAGGGCAAAATATTAGAAAGTGGATCTTACATCAAGTTGATGAGAAGACATGGATATCTCGCAGATTTTCTCTATACCTTTTATGTCGAACATGAAAGCGAACATGAGGAGGAGGATCCTGAAGGTACTTACAGTATTCATATAGATTATACTCTCAGTATCTGAAATTTGACATAATTGACAATTTAAGAGCCACAGCACTCCCCAACACTTTGCAAAATTTGCTATTATTTTAAAAATGTGAAAACATTTTCATCTTGTCATATTACTTTAATTATGTAGAAACTATGTGAGATAGTACTAATTATTTTAGTTAAAGTGCACATACAATGGATGCACATGGAATGGAGGCATAAAACTGGTGTATGCTGATTGGTTCTACAATAGTGATATGGCAGTTATTTTCTGGACACTAAAATTCACCCGTTCATAATATTTTGAAACCTGCTATAAAACTATTTTGCTAATTATACCAATTTCCCCAAAAGCGTGAGACCAAGTGTTTATTAGGAGTATATACCCATCGACAATTATGCATGGCTGATTACTAATGGAATAAATTGTTTCATATAAAATCGACCACTGGTATTTATTTTATGTGTTGTTTAAGTTGTTATTTTGTTTTATATTCTTATATTTAATAAACATAAACAAATAAGTTTAATTAAAATCAAGTTAAAAGACATGTTTTTATTATTTTCTTTTATTTTATATTGATAGTGAAGGAATTAAAAAGTAAAGTATGGGATCACGTTGAGACAGTTACTAGCACATCAGAGGGAGCTAACTCTAGTGATGATAATATTGTCATACAAAGAAGGTCTGAATTCATGTATTTACCGTGCAGAAAAATTCTTGTTAAATACCAGATTTAAGGTTTATGATTCATTCCATTTTATTATTTTATAATCTGGTTGGTTAACTTTTATATAAGACTCTGATATATTACGTTTCATTGAATAGCTCTATGTAAATTATAGTTTAGCCGGTCTTCATAACAGAGTTAATACTGACTTTATTAAAACGTCCTTTTTTTATTAACTGTGTAATGTACTTATATTTTGTAGTAAATGGAAAAGCTCACCAACAGAAAGTGAAGTAGAAAAATCTATTGATATATATAGAAGCATTTCGTGTAGTAGTAGTAGACAAATCAGCCGGCTTATTGATGAGGAGAAAACAGAAGTTGGCAGGGTAAATAGTAACAGTATACAAACTGAGAGAGACGAACATATGGTTCAATTTTATTTCAATAATTCACTTGCGCGTAGTGGTCTTTAGCAGTAGGAAGACACGGGAGGACCCGGAGAAAACCCACGAGATTGGACAGGTGACTGGGGAATCGAAACCACGCCTGTTACCGCAATGACAGACCTTATGATACAGCGCGCATGTGCTAACCATTCGGCCATCCACCCCACCCCCCTGAAAACGCGTCGAACGAGCAGATTTATTTTAATTTTAGAATTTTAGAATTATATATATAAAATTATATCGCGATCCCGTTCTTAAAGTGGAAAAAAACAGGATTCATTTATGTTTTTCCATTCCTTTATTTTCAGGTTCGTTTTGCCGTGTTTATTGCCTATGCTAAAGCCATAGGGATGTGCTCAACACTATTTATCTTCATTTTCTATACTTTATATCAAGGCAGTAGTGTAGCCGCAAATATATTGTTGTCAACATGGACGGACGACCCCGAGTTACAAAATTTAACTTTATCCCAGACCTCCAGTTATATCAATAAAAATCACCAATATCTGACACTTTTTGGGGTGTTTGGTATCCTTCAAGGTATGTTACATAACTAAATTCGTTTAAGGAAGCTTTGGAACCCTCACCAGGAATATAAATATTATAAATTGTTAATGATATCATATCAGGTGCAGAGAACTGCACTATGGTTTTTAGACAAATTATTGTTTGTATATTGTTGAATATTGTACATAACAGTATTCTACATATCCATCAGTCCAATCTGGAGCGATGGTGGCTAAGTGAGTAAGACGCTGGCTCGCTAGTCTAGAGTTCGCTGGTGTTGGCGGAGAAAGTTCATCGGGGTTTTTCGGCGTGGTTTCCCCTTGTCAGTGGTGAAGCAGGGAGGGCTTGACAAGGACAGCTGTCTAGTCGATCGGATGGGATGGAAAACCGAGATCCCGTGTACACATGAGCGTCCCTGATCTGACCTTTCGAAATAAAACACATTTCGTTTCGTGTTTTATAGTTTCCTTTCAACTGTACTTCACTGTATACAGTGGGGTCCACCTATATAATAATAACAAAAATGAACCGTATTTATATGTTTATTTTCAGCTGTATTTATATTAATACATGCTGCTATAGCCAACACACAAATGGTGAAAGCTGCCGGAAAATTACACTCTAAAATGCTTACCAGCATAGTTAAAGCGCCGATGTCATTTTTTGAGACTACACCTATTGGAAGAATAGTCAACAGATTTTCCAGAGATATAGAGACGATTGATAATCTTATTCCCTCTATTTTTTCGATGTGGATATTAACCATTTTCTCGGTGACAAGCACTATATTGGTAATTTGTGTGACAACGCCTTTATTTACTATAGTAGTTATACCATTGGTCTTCATGTATACAGCAATACAGGTAATTAAACATAGAGTTGTTTATGGTTTGTGACGTGGATGAATGAAACAAGGCCTATTTTAAGGTTTTATTGACGAAGCATTGTTTCCGGAGATGGAAGTTTTTTGATTGGGTTTCCCCCCTTTGGGTTCCAACAAAACTCACGATTTTACACACAGAACTTGGTAGCTCAATTTAGCTTCTTCCATCACCGTTATTAGCTCTAATGTGTTGGAATAAACCTTCTGAGATCGTGATTAATTAGTTGTGACCAAAACAAAGGTTCATCAGAAGTGAAATAAAAACTTCCTGAATTATCACCACGCTTACACTTTTAAAACAAAACAAGCGGTTGGCACACACGATACGCCGAGATTCTGTAAGATATGGATAGGGAAGGGGAAAATCGATAGGGCTCAACCTCTCATTGTCCCAATGCTACACATCGAATATGAAACTGTAGCCTATATCGCGTTCACAAGGTTTTTGGCAAAGTTTGGTAACTCGATGGGGTTTGTCGTCTCATGACCCCAATGCTTCACATCAAATGTGAAAAAATAAAACACGGTTAAAACGCAAGCCCCAGTCGCTTCCACGGGGTTTTCCAGGGGGCTTAACTCCGGAACAGAAGGTCGCGAAATGCTGATTATCGGTATGATTCTTGCTCCCGTGTTCTCAATTCATCAAAATATAAAGCTCACAAACTTTGTTGCGCTCTGTGTATGTAAGGCCATAATCCAAGCAGATGCACCAAAATCGAATTCAACCAAGATCTTTCGAGCCTCAACATCTAAAACGGTAAAAAATTGAGGTCTAAATTAAAATTTGCATACTATTGACATTTGTATTTATAGCTGCGTATCGGTATCATTGGCAGTCCAAAGAAACGCCCAAAAGCAGACGAACCTTTACTGTAACATGCAGCTGACTACTTGCGTCAACAACAGCTTTATTTTTCGACATTTACATACAATCCACGAAATTGAATCGAAACCAAACGCATTGATTGATGATCACAATGATTGTTAATGACACACTTGCTAAATTTCCTCATGCAATCTTTTCAGATTCACAAGGATACATAACATACCATGATACCAACTTTTCAAAGCACGAATTTTAGATACTACAAGCACGGCTTTTTCATTTCGAGGCACGTTCGTGTCTGTAGGCACGTTAAAATAGACCCTGGAATGAAATAATTTTGCTTAAAATTTTTTTTAAAGAATTGTCAACTAAATATAGTCAGAATCTTAATCGGTAATATATTACAGATTTAATAATCCAAGTATTGTAATCTAAATTATGTCCATTACAACATGTTAACATTTTCTGAATATCTGTTTTACAGAAATTTTTTGTTCCAACTTCCCGGCAGCTGAAACGGCTAGAATCTGTTACCAAGTCACCAATTTATTCCCATTTTGGCGAGTCGATCCAAGGGTCGCTTAATATCCGAGCTTATGAAGCACGTGAACGTTTTGTAAAAGATTCCAGATCGCTGATTGATAAAAACCAAATCTATTATTTCGCAGGGATATCAGCTAACAGGTAAATATATATTTTGATTGGAGATTGCCTTTATAGATTTATAGAAAATCAGATTGAAGTGACGTTATGCCAAAAATCCATTTTAGTATGGGTCTGAAAAGTAAATTTTAATATCGAAACGATTACAGAATCTGTCTGACCTGGGATAAATGACTAATCTGAGTACGCAGTGGACATATTCTTGAACTGGAGCAAAAGAATTATCATAGGAAGGATTTAAAAAAGTGGGAGTCGTAAAAGATCGTTAATAACAATCCCAAGAATTCTTATCTGTATTATTAACCAAGATGTTAATCAGCCTTTATTCTATTCCCAGGTGGCTTGGAATATGGATCGAGTTTATAAGTAGCTGTGTTGTATTTGCTGCCGCTCTGTTTTCACTCTTATCTCCGGGAGCTACAGGGGGTAGTTTAGGATTGTCTGTTACGTATGCTCTTCAGGTATGTCACCTTATTTAACTTATTATTTCTTTATGAATATGATAGAATCCACAGAGGCTCACGTCCCAGTCATATATAGATAAATTGTTATTAGAATAATTCTTTATGATTTTAAAAATGGGATTTTCACTTCAGTAACACCTTGAATCCCAATTCCAACTATCCACTCGAACGTAGCATGTAAACCTCTGGTCTGAACCTTCAATGTCTAATTTTTCAATATTTGAACATTTTGTAGATTACCTCGTCCTTAAAATGGTTAGTGAGAACCTTAAGTGATCTAGAAACTAATATAGTATCTGTAGAGAGAGTGAAAGAATACTCAGAATTAAAATCAGAGGTTAGTGTTGTTCTTATTATTGATTACCTGATACACAGTATCTTCAACTTTTGCTCGATGTAAGTGTCGATGGATGGCTTGTAAAACGGAACGTGTATTATTATTATTGTTCGATTTATATAGCGCTCCATTTACACATGGGTGTTGTTAAGTGCACTCACAACAAAACAGTTCAAAAACATTTTTGAAATAAATGTGTTTTTAAGTTAGTGTTAAAGCCATGGATGGAAGGGGATTGACAAAGGGATTGGGATGGGCACAGCCCACCAAGCACTCTCTATACTATAACATAAACTTATATTATGGAAAAGCAACAACTGATTTATTAAGCTTCATAACGTTAAGAGAATACTCTTTGAAACGACGCCTAAATAAATCAGTATCTGTTTTTCCATAAGTATATGTTATAGTTTATTTATCTACCCAGTTACTAAATGCCTCGTAAAGAATATTATCTCTATATTATACGGTTACCCACGTAATCACAAATACAATCCCTCCTATTTACATGTATAGGTTTTCTCTTCCTTACCATTACCATTAATCGACGAAAATGGTTTGGATTTACATGTTTTGTCCGGTGTTGGTGCATATTCATGATATTGATATTCAACCAGTTCTTTCACGTGAACACCAACACTGTCCTTTAAATTAAATGGGGAATTCGGTGTTCTACTGTGGCAATATTCCATAATTCGCCTGATATCACTCGTCGTAACTTCTTATTAAGCACACAGTTTCATCGGTATAAATGGACATTAAAGATTTGAGTAGTAGTTGATACCATTTTTTTTTTAAAATTTCGTATAACCAGAAGGTTATTAGAGAATAGTGGATCCGTTTGCCTCCATTAATTGTAACCATTGTTCCAATTCTTTAAGGGGTCATGGATGAACAGGCATAACCGTCCACCAGTTGATTGGCCGGAAGCAGGTAATATACAGTTTCAGCTCTACAGTACGAGATACAGACCTGGTTTAGATCTTGTATTAAAAATTATATCCTGCGACATCAAACCCGGAGAAAAGGTAAGAAAAAAACCTTTATGGGATTGAGTGAGATTGGAGAGAGAATAGAATGGACTGGGGATAAATCACTCCGATATCTCAAGTAATAAGTGGGAGAGTGAGATAAAGTCTTAAGGGTTTATAACGTTTATAGGGTGTTTCTTTACTATGAGTATAAAACTGGGATATTGTTTTAAAACAACAAGTTAACGGAATATAAACGGAACTGTTATATAAACGAGAAATTAAATAAACACAAACACTAAACGTTGTATTAAACGTCCGATCATTGTTATATTAAACGTCAAATTAAAGTTATACCTCATGCTAACGCTATATATTATTACGTTATACAACATTAGTGGTAAGTTGTTGAACGACATTTAGAATAAGCCAGCTTCACACCGGGCTTCACTCGAATCCTTATTGTTTTATTTTATTATTACAGATTGGTATAGTAGGAAGAACAGGAGCGGGTAAATCTTCGTTTGTTTTGGCTTTATTTAGACTGGTTGAATCTGTTGCTGGTAGTATATATATCGACGATAGACGTATAGATGATATGGGACTGCACGATCTTAGATCGAAACTTACCATATTACCACAGGTAGGCATCTAGACTGACCATGTTACCAAAGGTAGACTTCTAAAGTCACTATTTTAACCCATTTAGTCAGTCGTATTGTTGTATTGTATTGTTTTATTGCCGTAAACTGGAACAGAATAGGAAGTGTACAACATATCACTCTTCTACCTTACTATATCTTTATTCTAATATTTGTAGGATCCTGTTTTATTTGCTGGAAGTCTACGAATGAATCTTGATCCTTTTGGGTGTTATAATGATGAAGATATATGGACAGCTCTAACTCTGGCCCATCTCAAAGTTTATGTTAAATCTTTACCCGGTGGTCTCAGTTATGACTGTGGAGAAGGTGGTCAGAACTTTAGGTACGTGCTCAATAGGTTTTGGATATGGCTATCAGCTAATATCATACTGTTTAGACTATAGTAGTTTATATATCGATGATTATTACAAATAGTCTCGAAAAATAAACTTTGGGGTTAATGAGATTTGACCAGAAAACAACTTGATATATATCCAAGCCTGCTGGCTTCAATGTGCTAACGGGAGGGGATTCTCTGAAGATTTTAGAAACTAATTATTAGTCCAATGTTTAGCTCAGAGACACGCCGTCTGTATATTCAGCAAAGAGCAGGGGCCTGTTTCACCAAATTTTAACTAAGATAAAATTCAAATTTTAGTAATTTGATTGGATAATATAAGATTGATTGAAGTATCTACTAAAATTTGGATTTTATCTTTAGTTAAAATTTCGTGAAATAAACCCCAGAACTACAGTTACAACAGTCTTCAATCAAATAAATGGTTATTTAAGGGTTACAAATAAGGAAAAACACCTTTATTATTACAGTTTTCAGTCCAATAAATCTCTATTTAATGGTCACAAATAAGAAAAAACACGTTTTCTATGCATTAGTTATAATCCAATTCTCTTTGTGGCCTCTTCCTTTACATTCAAGTGTGCGTTATAATTTCCGAAACATTATTCAGAGATGACGGGGAGAGTATTTATGGGAGTTGGAATGGCTAGGTGATGTAGAGCTATTTATAACCATAAATTACAAATTGAATGTTATTCATAATCAATGTGACAAAGATTACTGTTCGGTTTGTTTAAACAAAATGAAAAGAATAGTGTAGCCCAACTGAAGTCCTACAGTGACGACAAATAGAGCGGCCGTAAACTCTCTGTCATATCTGCGCTTTCGCCTGGCTATCATTACAAATATATTTGATCCAATCATTTGTGTCTATGCATTTTCAAGTGCTTCACATCTTCAAATATGAACTAACGCCATGACATCAGCAGGTAGCTCATGCTAACCTACACAGTTCAGATCTTTGTGGGTCAATGAATAGAGTTATTTTTTTTTTAATTGCAGCGTTGGACAGCGTCAATTAGTTTGTTTAGCTCGTGCCTTGCTAAGAAAGACCAAGGTGCTAATACTGGATGAAGCCACTGCAGCAGTGGATTTAATGACTGACAATTTAATACAAGAGACGGTGCGAAGCGAGTTTAAAGATTGTACTATTCTAACAGTTGCACATCGTATTAACACTATCATGGATTATGACAGGTGAGTTGAAATTTACCGCCACCACCACCACCACCACGCCGCACAATGTCGTAGTTATTTCCCTTGGCATATCAGTATATCTGGTGTAACCTCTATACAATACAGTTATTTCCGTTGGCATATTAGTATCATATAAACATTAGCTGTATCGAAGCAGTTGTCTAAGATCATTGTATCACATCAATATCATTCGGCAATGTAATGTACTATTTGGATGTCATATAGTGTTCCACATAAAATATACATTGTTTTTTTTTATTATTTGCAATATCTTCATTTGTAAATCTGTTACAGAGTTATGGTTCTTGGTGGTGGAAAGATCATAGAATTTGACAAACCGGCAATATTACTCCAAGACGAAGAAAGTTCTTTTTATGATTTGGCCAAGGATGCTGATATCATATAACACGGTTTACAGTCTCGTTAGCCTCCAAGCAATGCGCTATAGAAATATTCAAAATATATTGTGATTAAGATTAAAGCAGAACAGCAGGACGTTAAGCGCCATTTCATTTCATTTCATTTCATTTCATTTCATTTTTCATTAAGATTAGAAATGAGGATAACCACGAATTGAATCCAGTATAGTTAAACAGGGAGATACCAATATACTGAACAATGTCTAATCTTCGTGTTTACCAACAGAAACTGTTTACTTTGTTATTAGAAATATTCAAAATATATTGTGATTAAGATTAAAGCAGAACAGTAGGACGTTAAGCGCCATTTCATTTCATTTCATTTCATTTTTCATTAAGATTAAAAATGAGGATAACCTCGAATTGAATCCAGTATAGTTAAACAGGGAGATACCAATATACTGAACAATGTCTAATCTTCGTGTTTGCCAACAGAAACTGTTTACTTTGTTATTAAAGACATCGTTGTCCAGGCTGGATTTGAAAATATTAGTGTTATAAAATGAATTTATATCATTTCGTAAACAAAAGCATTAAATAGGGAGCAATACCAAATCAACAAATCATACATATCTTATTAATTATTTATGCATATTTAATGAAAGTCTTGTCTTTTGATAAGCAATATATCTAGAACAAAACTATGACTATGTTGATAGTCCCAGGGGACACCGACACTTTCATGTATGAAAGAAGGCATTATTATACTAATTAATATGCGTTAGACAATCTCGATTACTGGATCTGATACTTTTAATGTGATTATCCTTGAACTAATGTATGAAAGACGGCATTATTATACTAATTAATATGTGTTAGACAATCTCGATAACTGGATCTGATACTTTTAATGTGATTATCTTTGAACTAATGTATGAAAGACGGCATTATTATACTAATTGATATGTGTTAGACATTCTCGATTACTGGATCTGATACTTTTAATTTAATTATCTTTGAACTAATGTATGAAAGGAAGCATTATTATACTAATTTAGTTTAGGACTTTGTGAAGAAGGCCCCTGGTTATTTACAACCATAGTAGTATTTGAACTTTCAGCAGTTCTTTTATTATAAGGACATATTTTATTGTTTAAATATAATTATTTGTTAAAATATAGCTTAAATGCATTTTACATTATAAATTATGTACAATTAAAATGTATATATTTTGTTATATATTTGTTGTAATAAATATTTGTTGCATATTGTATAATTTTATTACCGTGGTCGTATATTGTCATAGCCCCTTTCAGCTTGTTTGTCCGTACAAGTACCAAGTTTTACAAGTAGTGCATCTGTTCAAAAATTAATCAATCAAGCAATTCCACCAAAACTGTTACAAACACAACTAGGTTACATGAAATGAAACCGAAATCTAACATTGGTTTAAAATGAGGCGGGGAGAGGATATCAGTTAGAATCTAAATATCCACACGAACAACCGATTGTCACAACACCAGAAAAGATACAAAAAACGTGGACAGAACAAGCAATCAAAATTTTATACTGCCACGAAAACATAAGTTTATATCGGTATATACAAACTAACGTAATAAGATTTAAATAATATAAAATATAATATTGTCTAAGCCAAATGGTTTACAGATTATTATAGTCTCTGGTGGTGGGGTGGGGGTGTTCTGTGTACATCTCTGTACAGCCAAATTAATGATAATGACTTGATGCCAAAATAGCAAAATTTATTTTGAACATTTAGTTATCATATTTAGACATAACTTACATGGTTTAACCACGGTTCAACGCCATAAATTATCATTTTAAGTCGAAAAATACACTGTATAGCCAAGATTTTACTAAAAAAAAAACACTTTCAGTTTGAAAGTAGCTCAAAATCCGACCACCTTTCATACACACAATCTTGTAGATCAGTTTCCTTATAGAGGCCATTAATATTCCCATGCATCATACTATTCATGATTAACGGTATTGTATCAGGGCTTCCATTATAGGTCCTTTTGGCAAGGGTCCAGGGGCCGCAATAACCTGGAAAAAAGAGTACTTGCGGCCAAATTATTTGGAGGGGGGGCTAAAGAGCCCCCTAGCCCCCCCCCCACTCCGCCGGGCCTGGGTATAGTGACCGTGGGGTAGAATGTCAACAAAAATTACCCCCCCCCCCAAAAAAAAAAATAGTATTAACCTTAACTGGTTAAATTAACCCAACATTGAATGTAGGTGTGATATGAAGTTTGTTTTTGGTGTCTATGCATGGGCTTTTGATAGCAAGCTATTCATTGCGACCATATTCAACCCCTTTTAAATTGTTCTAATTTGCATAATTTCAAAATGGCCGCTAAAACTTCCAGATTAACACATCCGTCAAATAAGAGAAAGTAATTGTTGCATTATGTCTAACCATCCAACACTCGAAAGTTTCTCCATTACCACACCCATCGACAGATTGATTACCTCTTTGAAAAGTTGACTAAAATTGTGCAAATAAGTCATGGGATCGCAATTGATAAGTTTTTTTTTCGGTGGGCTAAATTTGCAAGAACTTATATGTGAATATAAATACAATACTTGATCAATAATATTCACTTGTTTAATAGTTGAAGAGCTGAGAACTCCTCTCAGCAACCGAATGATCCGAGAAATGGGAAGTTTAAGATGAAGAAATTAAAATCGTCAAAATTATTAGTAGAACGATTCGATTAATCTCGAGAAGCAAATTCATGCAGGATACCGAGTAGTTATTATGGTCGGTGATCGTAATCTCTAATTCATCGGGACAGCCACTCGTTTTTTCCGAGGCAAGTTTGTAAGTAATGGAGCCATAGAGCTCCCAACTAATGCTATATATCTGACATTTATAACATTATTTCAACATCCTCTTCGGTGTGTTTATGTTTAGCATCAAAGTGGTTTCTAAATGAAGTGGGACGACATGTGTTGCACATCTATACATGTATAACGACGGGTAATACTATTTCAAAGAAAGCACATTATCTTTCAATCTAGATCTTTAATTTATTGTATGGAATAGTAATGACAAGTCTTTATAAATATAAACTGTTAGTCTTAAGACTATTTTAATATTTATATTCGAATGACGCCCCTGGGAACCTATAAGCTGTACCGGCACTTTTGCAGATGGAATGTTATAGTTTTTAGGGTCGAGTCTTAGAACAACATCGAAGAGATAAAATGCTGTATCCCAATCAGTGGCATATAGTAGGGGAGCTAGCTGACCGTTGGTTCTAAACTCACGGACAAAATAAATTGGTACTATGCCTAACGGAGGCACCATCATGGCCGATGATCAGAATGGGAATTCTTAAGTTGCACATCCCCTGGGGTTAGGGGCTGTACGCCCCCGGAATCGCGCGAAAAGTCGATTTAATTCAAATTTTTGCGGACAAAGTTAATCTTTGCTACATATGTTCACGTTGCTAAGGCAAACTTGAAAAGTGGCCTTCAGAACAAAAAATCCCCTGGCTTCTGGCTTCAGAACGCCCCCTTGTGACCCGAGTGCGTAGGTTTATTTCAAAACATGACGGAAAACTTTGATTCCTTTTTCAGCTGATAGGGTATGGTCCCAAAGTAAATAAGACACAACTTCAGAACAAATAATCCCCTGGGTTCCTACTCCAGAACGGGTTCCAAGCTGAACACATCACAAAATCCCGGTAGAACGAATAGAAGACTGATTTGTTTCAAGTATGGTGGACAAAAAATTCTTCTAGCTAGATCACATGGCGTTTCTTTCCACCTCTAAGCAGATGATACCCAATTGTATTTGGGTTTCCGTCCACTGAACGCAAACAACCAACATGTTTTCAATTGACTTTCAAGCTGTAGTGAAGATATTAAGTGCTGGATGACCAGTCATCTCTTGAAACTCAATGAAGACAAGACTGAATTTATAATAATATGTCCAAAATCATCACGTGCAAAATTAGAACAGTTTCAACTAACTGTATGTGACTCAACAATCAATCCCAAGACAAGCGCGCGAAACCTTGGTGTTGTATTTGACTCACAATTTAATTTAGAAACACATATGAGTAATGTTTGTAGAACTGCTTACTTTCAAATACGAAATATCCGCCAAATTAGGAAATACATCGATAAGGACTCAACGAAAAGTCTGATTCAGGCACTTGTCATCTCTAGATTGGACTACTGTTATAGTCTCCTTTACGGCGTAAATCTCCAACAGCTTGTTCGTCTACAGCGTGTACAGAACACTGCCGCCAGACTTATCACTCACACAAATATCCGTGAACATATTACTCCCATTCTTAAGAGCTTACATTGGCTTCCAATTCGTACTCGTATAAATTTCAAGTTATTAACTTTTGTTTTCAAAGCAATCCACAATCTCGGCCCAGTTTACTTTCAAGATCTGTTCTCCTATATTATCACTGAATAATCCAAAATTTAGTGATTATGCAGAATTCATATATACTATTAAAAAAAAGTAGGGGATATTTGATTTTGGGGGCATAATACTAAAATATGCAAATGACTACGAAAAAAGTCACTATATAACCTAACAGAAGAAACATTTCCAGTTACATGTGACGCCCAAACGCACCAATAGCTACCGCATGGAATGCAGGTGATGCTTGGGATCATCATGGGGGTCCAAAACAAGATTTGCACGACTCTGACTTTGAATGTTACAGTCATTGTGGCATTGAATTCCAGGGTGGAAACATCAGTTTAATTGTTTTAGTGACCAGAAAACAAATTTTGATATGCGTCGGCTTACCCAAAATGAAAGGTTACGTGCCCTTGGCATGCTACAGATCGGCACAACACAGGCGGTTGTGGCGCGGACGATGAATGTTTCTCAGTCTGTCATAAGCAGGCTATGGTCCAGATACCGTGATACACAATCTGTACAGGACAGACCACGCTCAGGTCGACCAAGGGCGACAACTCAAGCCCAGGATCGATTTATCCGTACCTTGGCCTTGAGAAATCGTGTCATCACAGCAAATCAGATCAGCGCTCGTCTTCAAACAGACACTGGTGTGAGAGTGAGTGGCCAGACGATTCGGAATCGACTGCATAGGGGTCACCTTCGCGCCCGACGTCCTCGCGTGATCCCTTGTTTGAGAGATCATCACATTCAGGCAAGACGTCGTTGGTGTAGGGATCGTCAACACTGGGATAATCGACGCTGGAGCAATGTGATGTTTTCAGATGAGTCAAGGTTCACTGTTGATTTTTTGGACAGACGTAGGAGGGTGTGGCGTCGTCGAAACGAGCGCTTCCAAGACGTTAACGTCATCAGACATGATCGATTTGGGGGTGGTTCTGTTATGGTGATGGGGAGGCATCACTGTTGCTGGAAGAACGGCTTTACATGTTGTTGCAGGGCGTGTTACAGGCCAGTACTACCGGGACAACATCTTAGAAGTCCATGTTGTGCCGTTCGCACGACGTCATGGCCGCCGTTTCATCTTCCAGGATGACAACGCAAGATGTCACAGGGCCAGGATCGTTACAGGTTACCTCCAACAACAGAACATCACCACATTACCTTGGCCAGCACTGAGTCCCGACCTCTCCCCCATCGAGCATGTCTGGGACATGCTTGGACAGAGGTTACGTCAACGTCAACAACGTCCTGCCAATGTCCAAGAACTTGCTGCTGCGTTGCAACAGGAATGGGACAATCTGGACCAAAATGACCTTAGACGTCTCATTAGGAGTATGCCACGTCGGATCAATGCTTGTTTGGCAAACAGAGGAGGTTTTACCCGTTACTGACTTGGTTGTGATGCTGTGGTAACTTTGCTGTTTGACCCCGGGTATCATTTTACCCTTATAATGGTCAGTCTGTGCCTTACTTAGTCTAACGATCATTTGGAATAAATCGATGAATGTGAACTTCATTTCATTTTGTCATTTGTTTCTTCGTCAGTTTCATTAGGTGACTTTAATAACACTTAAAAATCAAATATCCCCTACTTTTTTTGAATAGTATATCTTGATGAGCTCGAAATTAAAAACACTACTGACGGTAACAATTACGCTTCCTACTTGGATTTGCGTCTCGATTTTGACAATTGCCATAAACTTAGTGTTAAATTGTAC